TTTGAACAATCTAGATTAGATTTCATTAACACTAAAGAGTTTGCCTGTCTGATAAAATGTTGGTTGTGTTAAAAAAATAATTAAAAAGAAACCCAAAACAACAAACCCAGCATCCTGAAATAAAGGAGACCAAATTTAAGCTTAGCATTCTGAGGTTTTTTTGGAGAAAAAAAATTTTTTTTTTCCTCATTTCTTGGAGAAGGGTGATGTCAGGTGCAGTTAGAAGTGTTACCTTGGATTACATGAACACTTATCATAGCAACACTGCTTACCGATGTCTCCTACAGCTAACTAGCTTCGTAGGCTTAGATTCTTAGTTGGGTTCTTGGAACTGATGTTTCCCAAGCTAATGGCTGATATGTAACTTTGACATGTTTTGGTTTTTAAGTGAATACCTCAGAGGAATATAGAAAAATACAGAAATGGAATGTGTTCATCTTTGCTTTCAAGCTGATACTTCAACTTTCCCTGTGTTTTAAGGCCTGTTGCTGTCGACCGGACTTGGAAATTGATGGGAAACATATACGGATGAGCAGTTAACTTGTTTGATAAAAATTTCCTGTTTCCAAAAGTATCTATTCAGCAGTTGTTTCTCAGATGCTTTCTGTTGGCCAGAGGATTGTGGTGTGGCATTCTCAGTGGCTTAAGGAAGCAAAATGGTAAACCCCTCTGTACAGAGGGGACAGCCTGATAATGAAGGTATTTCTGTATGGAACAGCCTTGATGGTCTGCTAGGTTGGTCCTACAGCTGCATGGACGTTGGAGTAGGTAGACTCAGCTCTATAGCATTTTTATCTTTGTTCTGTGCAGATGTGTCCTCCAATCCAAGACTTTCTTGTGCAAGTTGGCGAAGCTGTTGCTACCACACCTTGAGTTTTGTTTCATAATAACTGCACAGTTCTGTTTGAGATGCACAAGTTTTCAAAAAGAGTGTTGAAATAATTGCTAATGCTTACCTGAAGAGAACAGAAATTCCCTACTGGAAACAGTAAGTCTTACTTCTATACACCAGCAAGAGGAGTTGGAAGTTTGTCCCTGTGGCATGTTGGACAAGATTTATCTCATTGATCTTTAAATCCTCCTGTTAGACCTTTGGCAAGGTCTAGTAGTGTTCCACATGTGGCTTGTGCCTCAGCTTTTTAGGAAAATCAGAACAAGTAAAACAGGCAGGATGACACACCAAGTGCAGATAAGCTATTCTATATTTGGCTCTGCTTGGTGTATACCAGAAATGGGTACACAAGGCGTGAGGGGCTGTGGCAGAAGGGTTCTTTTGTTCACAGCCATTTAACTAAAGCACATGAATTGAGTTGGCACTGCAGCTGCAGGAGGGGCTTAGACCCTGCTATGAGCTTGGCTTCTATGTGCTTGAGTGCTGCGAGTAATTGCCCAAATTGCCTGCAGTGGAGAAACATTGTGTTCTGAACTGGCAGAATGTTTTACTGTGGTGGTCAAATCTGAAGAACTTAAACCCCTTTCCATACAGTGTGTGCCCAAGTATTTTTAAATATTTTTGGAAGAAGGGGGTGTATACAGCTACCTGTGAGATGGAGTTCATAAAAGGAAAAGTCTCCCTGAAATCACCTGTTCAGTGTTTCCGTGTTCTCTCAGCGGCAAGTTCCAGTGAAATTACTGGGGGATAGTAATGGTTAAGAAAATCCTTTAAGGATTAGCCACTTACTGTCCACTTGCCTTAATGACATATTGCAACACATCTATTTGTCATGTATTTCTCATTAAATTTCCCCTGACTTATTTTTTTCCTCATTTTCCTTCTATTTAGCAATGACCAGCTCATATTTCATTTAAGTTTCCTTCTTAACCCTTTTTCTGTTTTAGTCACTTCTCAGAAGAAGTTATGATGCTTAAGGGTTTTCACTCAGGATAGGTTTAGCATCCCTTTGAAACTAATAGTTGATGGGTGATGACAAGCTGCTGTCTGCAGATTCTGGCAGAACACTAGGAAAATATGGGCTTTTTAGTTTTTCACAGTCACTTCCCAAAACAATGTTTAACTTGCCTCAGGATTTAAAAAGACGACTTTAAATACTCTTAACCATAATTATTCTCTAATTAAGGTTGCACATACAAAATTTCAGCTCCTTAAGTTAGGAAGTTTAGGACACAGAAGACTAGAGTATTTCATTAGCAAGCATTTCTGTTACCAGTATCAACTTTGAACATGGAAAAGGAAAAACTCACTATGAAATACATGTATCTCACACAGTAGAGGCTTTCAAGGAATCGTATGTTTTTTCAGGTTGTAGTATCTCAGGTTTGACAGTAGGAGGCATCTTCACATCAGCTATTTCTGCGTGGATGCAGAACCTGCATGGTATTTTAGTGAAACTGCAATAAAGCTAGCAGATATGGAACATTTAATAAAATTTCAGTGGTTTAAATGTGTATTACAAGGAAAGTGAAATCCCACTGGGATAATGTAGTGTGCTTAACTGTATTAAATGTGGTTTTTCGGAATAGTAACAAATATTTACAGAAGTTCAGTTTTGACTTGCATCTATGAATGCAAGTCAAATGAAGTTTGTTATCCTTTACTGGCAAATTCTGCACAATTAAATTGGGTTATCTTGTCCTTTTACCATGTAACTTTCAGTATTTCATCTTACCCCATTCTCCTGGCTTTTGACTGATCTGGTGGGTTTGGTCAAATGTAGTGTATTTTAAATGGCTGTTAATATTTGTTGGCTTACAGAGTACAAGTTTAAATGGATGTTTTTCATGTTTGCTTCTAATCACATGCTTAGGTGAATTTCACCAGGAATAAACAGTTGTTGTGAGTCTATACATTAGCAGAGTATGTCCTTCAGTGTTTAGGGTTGGGTTAAAAATCCCACTGTCAATGCTTCAGAGAGCTTTATGCCATGGAAGGGCAAAGCGGAATGAATTTAATCCCTTTCTCCAGTATATTTGACGAAAACATTTGTCCTTCCACAGTAGTCTCACTTTTTTCCTTTGATTAATTGCAATTTACTCTTAGTACTGAGAGCAAGTGAAAAAGGTCCCAATGAAGTATATAGATACAGGTTATATATTATTGTCCCTAAGTGTTACAGTGCAGTGTTCTGGGAGGGTGGGAAAGTTCTCGAATGCTTGTTACACAGTGTCACATGTGGGACTGCTGAATCTAATGTGAATTTCTCCACCACTGGTTAGTGCATTTACTAGGAAGGAATCAAATGGCTGTTCACTTAGAGCGATGGAGCAGCAACCAGAACTGAACAGGTGAATTATTAGAAATTGGTCTTGTGTAGGTGTAACCCAGTGTCCTATACCTTAGGTAAACTTGCTGTTTTAATTAAGCTGCTCTGTACATGTGAATGCATTTTAACCAGTTTGTTTTAGTGGGACAGTTTCAAAGTGAAGTGTGTCACATGAGCAGAGAATTAGGAGTGAAGGAGTAGGTGCAAAACATATCAGGTGAAAAGGCAGTTCTCTTATGTCGCTCAAGCCGTTTGTGGGGCTCCTTCTATATGCACAAGCAGCTGATGGTGAAGATATTTGTGCTGCAGAATTTAGGTTCAGATGGTATTGACTGCAGATTGAGGCAATAGTGAATGGGGTTCAAATCTTTGGAAAATTAGCATGTGCCTCTGTTAAAATAGGCATAAGATGGCTGTGAGAATGAACTGTATCTTAGAGCATATCTATTCAGCTTTAAGGAGTCGGGCCTATTCTTTACATAAAAGGATGTTTTAATATATTCATTTCCCTTTTTTGTTTAGTTTGTGGCTAGCCAATTTGCTTTTGTTACTGATTTGAGTGTCTTCCAGTTACCTCAGGAAGGGTAAACCAGCTAAATTTTAATTGCTGTTATTACTCTAATTGTTTACACCTCAACAATTTATCAAAATTAACTTTGAACGTCAAGAGGAAAAGATTTACAAAAGAAATCCTTAAAAAATGTTATCAGAGATAAACTCCATTAAGCTATCATTAATGTTGATTTTTTTTCCTAATGTGCTATTAGAGCACAGCACATGCAGCAACATGACCTGCTTGCTAGCTGCCAAGATTACTGCGAGGAGGTTTTCTTTGTGGCCATGATAAATGCATGTTTAAAAACAGTGCTCTCAAACATAGTACGAAACTTCCAGCATTCAGTTTAATTTGGCCATAATGTACAAGTCAAATTGAGCTATGTGGGCTTTTGATTTACATCTCATACATCAAAGGACTATAAAACAGTTTCATATTTATCTTAGGTCACTCTTCTGCTCAAATAAAGCTAACCTTGGGGGAGAATCTGAACAATAAGCAAATGTGTGGCAACAAAGCAGAATAATAAGATAAATGATCCTAGCTGTTTGCCAGTTTGGGTTTGTTTCTTTGTTTGTTTGCTTTCCCTAGTCTGCTTTTACAATTTTCAAGTGCTGAGGTTCTACTGTTTACTTTGGGAAGTGATATGGATACTTGCTTTCTTTAGATATTACTCGAAGTGCTGCAGAAAGTATATATATATATATATATATACATATATACATATATATATACATATATATATATATATACACACACACGCACATATGAAGCTGCTTCTCCCCAGCTCAGCTGTGAGCCGTTTAGAAACGTAGAGATCAAGCCGTTGTACCAGATTGTATGTCAGGCTGTTTTCTTTGTTTAATGGGGCGATGATCCCTTAAATATCAGGGTGTTGCTAAAAATTGGCTCCGGTTATACTGGGCTTGAATCAAAAACACGGAGAAGGAGGGCCCTTTGCTGCTATTCCCCAGGGGGTCAGGCGAAGGAAATGTGTTCCAAACAAATACTGCTGGAACACCCTGGGGAAGGCAAACGAGCGCTATAGAGCATTTGAATTGTCCTGTTACCCTCCCTGTCTTAGTCTACCGGTGGTTAACTACGGTGGGGAAACCCTTCCTGCCGCAGCACCGCCGAGCTCTGCCGTGGCCAGCGCACCTCGGAGGAGGGGCGGGGAGCCGGGCCGGGCCCCCTGCCCGGGAGCTGCGCCGCGCCCCTCGGCTCCGCTACGCTCTCACCGCTCGGGGCTGCCCCGCGCCCGGCGGGCGGGAGGAGCCGCCGTTTCCGCTGGGTGTCACTCTGGGGTGGGAGAGGCGCGTTCAAAAGCGGAGGGCAGGGAAAAGCCCGCCGACAGCCCCGGCCGCCCGCACCGGCAGCGCCCGCCGCCCGCCACGCCGCGGCACGGGCGGCAGCCCCTGCGCTTCCTGCGGGCCGGGGCGCTCCCGGCCCTCCGCCTCGGAGCCGGCGCCCGGCGGAGAGTCCTCGGCTGGTGCCGGCTGCCCCCCGAGCCCAGCCCCTGCGGACGGAGGCCACCTAACCCTGCCAGAAGGATGCTGGAGGGCGGCTGCAAAGCGGTGAAGGAGGGCGTGTTGGAGAAGAGGAGCGACGGGCTGCTGCAGCTCTGGAAGAAGAAGCGCTGCATCCTCACCGAGGAGGGGCTGCTCCTCATCCCCCCCAAACACCCCCCGCCGCCGCAGCAACAGCAGCAGCCGCCGCCGCTGCCGGCTGAGCCGGCGGCCAAAATCAAGGAGCTTCACTTCTCCAACATGAAGACGGTGGACTGCGTGGAGCGGAAGGGCAAGTACGTGTACTTCACGGTGGTGATGGCCGAGGGGAAGGAGATCGACTTTCGGTGCGCGCAGGAGCAGGGCTGGAACGCGGCGATCACGCTGCAGATGGTGCAGTACAAGAACCGCCAGGCCATCCTGGCCGTGCGCTCCACCCGGCAGAAGCAGCAGCACCTGGCGGCGCCCCACGGCCCCCCGCGCCTCCGCGGCGCGTCCAACTCCGCCTAGCGCAGGTACCGACCGGCCCCAGCGCCGCTCCCGCCGGGCACTGCCCGCTCCGGGCGCCGCTGCTTCCCCTCACGGGCTGCCCTCTGTGCTCTCTGTCTCACTGCAGGTTGCGTTCACGGAGCGCTTCGGGGAAGCGGGACTGAGCGCGTTCGTGGCGGACCTGCGCCAGCGGTCTGAAACTGGGAAAGCGCCGGAGGGGCAGGTAGACCGGAAAGAAGCGGCTCAAAAGCCTGAACCCCAGCCTGCTGCTGCTTTGCCGCCCTCGGTGCCGAGAAGCATTTCAAATCTATTATTTATGAACCTTGGAAAGGATACTTTGGTGCGATGGGATTTCTAGGAGACATGTACTGTAACTTTATTTTAATGTATTTTATTTTATTTATTAGGGTTGTTTTGGTTTCGTTTTCATCTTTTTCCTTTTTTTTTTATTTTTTTTAAAGGTTTATTTGCAAGACATTTCTGAATGTAGGGTGTATCATAAAAGCAAAGGAAAAAACGATATGCATGTTAGCTCCCTGAAGGAACTAAAAAGTTTTGGGTAGTTTGGCTCTGTGCAATTTGACGAAAAGTCAAATTTTTTATCCGAGATACACTTTATTCCACTAACATGGAAAATGTGATGTGTAGTTTGAAATTTGGCTGAAACCCATACTGCATATGAAATCTGTTTTCTCTAATGAGAATAACAATTGTAGTCGGAGGTTTAAATTATTTCCTTTTAAAATATTAAACGTGGTGGAAGATGGTAAAAACTTATTCATGCTTGGCTATTCAAAAAAGCAATGTTGCTCGTTACTCTGAGGTTAAAACCCATCTGTTTAATGTATGAGCAGAGGAGAACCTGACCAGCTTCTTTTGTGATACAGGAATCTGAGTTGGATTCCAGCTATCAGTGTGATGTGCTTGCTCCTGGGCTGGTGGGCCAGAGCTGAGGCGTTCATGGATGTTTCTTTCTGTCCAAGTTCAGGGCTCCCTCTGCACGCTTGTTTTTAAAGTGATCTGGGCTGTCAATCTGTATTTCTTTTTCATGGCGCTTTTTAAATGTCTCGCATTAAAGCAGCCCATAGTTTAAAATCTGTTTTATGTATGTCTTGGTGTGCAAATGGATTATTTTGGTCACAGTTTTCTTTCAGTGAAAGTTGCTCTCTAGCTGAGATGAACTAGACTAATTTTGGTGTTTAGCACTGTCAGATGTTGAGAGAGGCGTGCAATCTTGCCTCTAAAAACGTTGACGAAGCAACGAAGTTGGAAAACAAAGGGCTAATTGCACAGCTGTTGTGTCTTCCTCTGTCTCTTAAAAGTCAGTGGGAGTTTGGCTGTCAATGCAGGCGGGAGCGGGTCAGAGCTCTTTGCCGGTGCAGAGGAGGGAGTTGGGTGTGGGCCTGTGAGCTTTCTAGGACAGGGCTCTTCAGACGGTGGGTGGCTTCATATTATGTGCCCCCACAGCAGGTTCTCTGGTTTAAGTGAGGTGGGGAGGCTGTAAGTGGAACAGAACAATACGTCCCGTTATCTCTGGTTCAAGGTAAAAAGTCATAGCTATGGAGCTATTTATTTTAATTAGTGTAGTGAGGAAAATTACTTTTGGCCCCTTTACAGGTTACATATGAATATAAACAAATTCATTTAAAGTTTCACGTTCAGGACTTTTTTTTTTTGTGTAACTCAGATGTAAATTAACAGCTCCACATTCTCTGTTCAAGCTGTAAGTGTTTAAAGCAAAAGGCTGAAGTGATACTCAAAGGGAGATCTTAGAATTTGCTACTGCGCATGCGGTCCCTTCCTCTGCACTCTAAGCTTAAGCTCAGTCAGTAAGGAAGAAGTTGAGATCTGTGTTAGCCCTCCTCTTTTGTCCCTTGCCCCGAGGTTTTGGGGTCACATACCTAGACATGCAAAACATGTCATGGTGCAGAGTTAAAGCCCGGATCCTGATGATCCTCTATAGTTACTCCTGAGCGCTTCTTTCTGATCTTGCCCTTGACAAGGTTGCGTGATGAACTTGGGGTGGTAGATTACAGCTGTTCTAACAAAGTTATTATTTTGAGATTAATTCCAACTGAAGATGCCCCACATCTTCTAGGATGAGAGTTGCTGTCTTGGCAATCATAATAGTCAATTTCCACATCTCTGTACATCTGCCATTATTCTGCTAACGCTTCGATGTTAGAGCTGCAAGGGGATTCTCTAATGAGCTAGTCAAAGACTTACAAAATAGACTGTAATTTGTAATTTGGCTCCTCTCTTTGGAGCGATTAATTACAGTTTACTGAGTAACTAATCCACCTTTTCAGATCTACAGACGTATCACTGATCTCACCTACTAAAATACATTTTAGCCTACTGAAGAATAAATGTAACTGATGAAAATTAATTTCTATGTGATCAGAGACACATGTATTTCTCTAAGAGAGGCAGATATTCTTGTCCTCAGTGAATGCAAGCCTCTGAATGCCACAAAAGCCTATGGATGTAGTCTAAACCTGAAATTTTACTATTCTTCTGGAAGTACTTGTACTTTGAAAACAAATGATGAAAATTTTAGTGATAAAATTTTCCTTAAGGTACGAGAAAATAGCTTTCATTTTGAATTTGCTGCTCTTTTTCACCAGTTCATGGTCAATGTCACTTTGTGTTTCTTGTCTTAAGTTGCTCTGAAGGATGCTCTGAAAACCTTTTGAACTGAGGTAGCTCACCAACAAATTTTGCTGGTTGTCATTGCCTGCTCTGTTACCTGTTTAAAAAACTTGATGTCAGCCAGAGTCCTAGTGTGAGAGGTGGTCACATCACAAAATCCACGCTGAGCTGGTGGGACGAGTGTAAGGCTCAAGCTTCCCCCTTGTGTCTCTGGACTGTCTCCTCAAAACTGAATGGGAACAATTTGGCTGGGGTCCCCTGGGGACAGTCAGACTGTGTGGCTCATGCCCTGTCGGTATAAATAAGGCTAAATTGTCTGATGTGGACAGTCTGACAACTTTCTCACGCTCTAAATTCCACGGGTTCTTTTTTTTTTTCTTTTGACTGATAGTAATTTTAGACCAAGACATTTTTTGATGTTATAAAAGGTAGTTCTGCTCTTTTTTTTGTTTTGCCCCTCTACTACTGCATGGTCTTCATTTGAACTTTTGGATTAAATACTGTCTGTCACTGCCTTGTAAGCAATGGCTATGAAAATAGGTCCAGCAGATCATGCTGCATCCTATCAGAGCTTTGAAAGTAAAGAAATCAAATTGTCATTCTCCTTACCAAAAAAAGAAAAAAAGAAAAGAAAAAGAAAAGAAATTTGACAGCATGTGACTGAAGTAAATTCATTAGAGAATAAACAAAAATGCTGTAAAACACACACAGGTCAATGCTTGGTAGAGGTAGCAAAAGTGGGGACAGTCAGTTCATAAAAAGGTCAAAATTATGTGTCTTAACTAAAAAAAAAAACCCAACCAAACAAAAGAAGCCAAGAGAACGTGATTAAGGGGCAGATTCAGCAAGAAAATCTAAACTCTGGTGACCAAGACAATTTAGAAACTGAAAAAGGAAGATCAAGTGGATGTTGTTTCTGTGGCATCCAGAAGTAATTCCTTTTTAAAGATTCATGATGTGCAAATGCCAGCTTCTGAATTATAGCTGCAATGATGTACCAAATGTTTTCTAGCATATCCTATTCTGAGCAGAAATATCAGTGTCATCAAAAAAATTTGTGTGTAAATATGACTCAAAAATGATTTCTGAGAGATGTGATTTATTTTTCATATTTTTCAAGATACATTCCATTTCAAATAAAGAGGTATCTATTGAAAGAGCTTTCATTATGTTGGAAGAATGGTTGGTTTGATGGGCTGTCTTGTTGTGATTAAAGCCTAATCTAAGCTTTTCCAATGTCAAGCTCAATCTAAGGGCCTAAGAGGAATGCCCCCTGAAAAAAGATCCACTTAGATGCTCCACCTAAACTATATATATAGCACAATTATGAGTCTCAGTCCTCAGTTCTGCTTCTTGCTGTGCATGGTGTGTGAGCACCCACACTGAGTCCAGCTGATTTCTGTAATACTCGGTGTCACAGTTCTCATACAGCAGGTCTTTGGGACGCAGAATTCAGACTCATAATCTTTACCTGTGAATGCCTCACTCTATGTGACGTTAGGAATCTAAACTGAAGCATTAAATGTGCCTTGTTGCTCTTTTTTATGTATCTTAAGCACTATGTTTGAATTTCAAATTACCTGGAAGTAGTCCCGAAAGAACACATCCACCGTTCGGCCTGAGCTCCGACCTGTTCTTTTCTAGCTTCGTGGGAAAAGAAATGAGGTATGACAAGAAAAATGTGCGATGACTTCTGCTGTTTGGGGGTCTCCTTAGAGCTGCAGCTGCTTGGATGCCTTGAGCTCCCCTGAGGTGTATTTGTATTGCAGCAGGGCCTCACTTTCAGGCATCTTCCAAAAGTGTACTAATTTCAGTGACAAAGTATGCATTGACCTAGACTTGTTGGTGCTGTTTGCCTTCACTGGGGAGGTCTCAGTAACCTCTTCCATAAGAAGGCTTTTGCTGTAACAAGTACAAGTTCTCTTTTCAATAGTAAACATCCGAAATGTAGGCATTTGAACTTAATATTTGATACGCAAATGATAGTTTAAAGACCTGACCTCTCGCAAGCGCTGGTGCTCAGCAGCTTTGAAAAGCCAATTAAGCATCTCTGGATTTATTATCTAGTCAAGGACCCACTGTTGCTTACAGCTGTTAGAGATATCCCTTATGAGCTTCTAGTAACAGTGATAGGGAAGTGTCTCTGTAAGGGCATAAATACAGTGGGACAAGAATTTATTAAATTGTGGTTCTTTCTGCTCCTGTATCAATGGTGATATCTTTATAAAAGTGCATCAAAAACATGTTTCTCTGCTTTAAATTTTGATTAAGAGGATGTAAAATAAGACTGCTCACCTATTCATAGTACATATGAAATGGTCTTAGAAATTGGGGCCATTATTTTCCTAGTGGGGAATATTGTCTTACTAGGGTTTTCTCTGATCTTAAGTACAATGCAGGGTATAGAGAGGAAATCTGGACCTTATTCAAAATTCATTGAAATCAACTGGAATTTTTCCAGACTAGGACAGATGCTGACCTTTTTCACAAATGGTGAAAAAGCTCAGCATCTTTTTTGGTTTAAAAAACCCAGGAACGAAAACCCAGAGCAAGACCTTTGCCCATGATTGGTGCCAGTATCAGTGGCATGTGACTAGGATAACACTGACATTATGGTCTTTCATATTTTCCAATGAAATGAGGAGGAGAGGAAGAGAAAGATGAAATAATGCCTATGCTTTCATCAAAATAAAATATGAAGGAAGACCAGTCTAAATGTCTTCCCTCTCCCACCCCCAAAATGAAATCTAGACCAGAATGGTTTCTAGCAATTTCACTGAATTCACAGCACAGCTGAAATGGAACATTTTTTTTTGTACTTGAACCCAGACCAGAACTAAATGAAAGGCTTTACTTCTTTGACTATTTGTTTCTAGCAGGAACATCCTAGTCCTTCCTAGAAAGCGCTGAATTACTTTCCACACTTACACATAATTTTTTTGAAAATCAACTGTTGTGAAGACTTTCAACTTAAGTCCTTTATAAATTTGAAATAACCTTTCTTTTTATCTCTCTTTTTTTTTTTTTTTTTTTTTAAGTTATAAACAGTACAATGGGTGTTTGTGATAATGTTTTTTCTGTCTTTCCACTGGAGGATTTTTGATGTATAAGGTAAGGACCCTCATACACGCTCCTCACAACTTTTCTTTGTGCCTTCTACACTGAAGATAAGCAGAGCAGAAGTGCCTTTGGTCCTGCTCAGAGCTGAACATCTTCAAGGTGTCCTAACACCCAAAGGACCTGGGAGCTGTTTGGGACCTCAGAATGGGATTTGATTACTTGTAGGGTCTTGGCCTAATGTTACACACTGAATTTACGAGGAAAGAGACATCAGCTTCTGGGTGAGGCATTGGTAAATGAGCCCATGCTGGTAGCTGGCACCCACATGAAGCTTGTGCTCTGCCTCAGCAGCCTGGTTGGATTGCAGCACCTACAAGTTTTCCTGAGAGACTTCAGAAGAAGCCAGAGGTGAGGCTTCTGTGCTTAAGTGCATGAGATTTTTTTTTTTTGTTCAGGTTTTTAGAAAAACATCAGAGACATTTACCCCATTATAGACTTATCACAGGCACTTTAAATTAGCCACTTTTACAGCCCTTCCTGGTCATTCTACTAGATGTCTCTGGCAAAGCTTGCCACCAGTGCAGGGGAAATGGTGGTTTGGATGGGGGTTTGATTTACCTTTGGTGTTGAATTGTGCTATGACTGCAGTGGATTTTGCATAAACAAAAATTTTAATGACCCTGCTTCATAATCTTTGCCTTGCAATAGTTTGTGAGCAGCCATAGTAGATTAACCAAACCAGTAAATATCTATAGAATGACTAACCATTACAATGAAGCGTAGAGTGGTCAGCAGAATGTTTTGATCAAGACAGTTTGCCCTGTGTTTTGTAAGGCTTCCAGTGAGATGAAGAAATCACTACTTTTGTTTTTAAGATCTTGTCAGTGTTTTGTAAATATTTCTGATATTTATGCCTGTACATATGGCTTTGATTATAACTTGCAGGAGGCTCAAGAATAGGTCATATAGCGTCTAGGAGGAGATTATTTCATTATTGGTAATTTCTGTTGGGTTTTGAGGCTCAGCTTTTGCATCTACTGCCTTTTACAAAGGTAAAAGTACAGCAATGAATCTGCAGCTTGGAGAACAAATACAGCCTGTTCTTGGCTTGGGTGCCAGAGCCAGGGTCCTTTGAGGGAACAGCTTTCCATGTTGCTGTGTGCTTTGGACCTGGGCCTGGGGATGATAACTCCCTGTACCAGTGATAGCACCTCTCTGCGAGGCTCTCAGCCCACTTGTATATCATATCTCTGTTTTGGAGAAGAGGAAACTCGGGACTGGAGAGCCCATGCCACCTGCCCAAGGTCATGCCTTGGGAGCTGAAGAGCAGCGTTCCATAGGCGGGGGCCCTGTCCCTGTGTGTGAAATGCTGCCTCTCACAGCAGAGGCTGCTTCATCTTCTGTGCTTGGTAGGCATCTTCCTTACAGACACCTGCATTCGCAGTGTCCAATCCCCCCACCGGTGCCATGGATCCTCAGATGGAGACCACAGTGGGTGACTGCCCTGCCAGCTAAGTTTCAGTCTTAAAAATTCATCATGGTGCAGCTGCTCACCCGTTGGAGACAATAGCAAGACAGAACCACTTAGGCTTCACATGGGATTTAGCAGAGTTTTTGGATGACTTTGGATTATTAAATCAGCTTCTGGTTATTTCCAGCACCAGGCATTGTGCAAACACTGTATTAGGAACGAAGGGATCTGCAAGTTGTTCCCTATTTCCGGTGTGATTAAGCTCTTCTATTTACTGCGAATTGCAAGGACAAAGAGAGGTTATCAGTCTCGTAACTTGAAAAGACTCTGTAGATATGAATCCAGTGTTAATGCAGCTTTTCCAGCCTGGTACCTGCCTTGACCAAAACACACAAAGAAAAAAAACAATGTGTGTGTGTGTGTGTGTGGGAATAATTTTCTTCTCTCTGCTATTCTGCTGTCATTTAACCATTTCACTCAGAAATAAGGAATTTTGAGAGACGTCCTTTTAGCCGGAAACCCTTATCCCAATCATGTATTTTTCTATCAGAAAAAAAAAAAAAGTGACTGATGCACAAAGCTGTAGTATCTTATACCCAACCTGCTTATCCTGCTGCCGGAGGGTGATGGAGCTGTCTTTATTCATGGGCTTTCACAACAGCTCTTTAAACCATCTGTAGAGCTGAAAACTTCTCCATGCCCTTTCCTATGCCAGCAGCTACTGCAATATGCAGGTGACTTTGCTTAGGGCCTTTTCTTGTACACAGATGAACACATGAAAAATTACTCTGTTCTTTATAAAAGTCAGACCTGAACTGGAAAAGCTATTTCTTTATTGGCTTTTCTGGGGGTCTGTGGCTGCTCTTAGCCAGTCGTAGGGCAGTGCCTCCGGCTGAGTTAGGTGTGCACTGGCTGCTTAGTTTTTATTTTTATCACAGATCACTAATATTTCCTGTTCCACTAAGCCACGTTTCCCTGGTACTCTTTCCTAGTGCTTGGCTCCTAAACAAAGTCACAGCTCTTGTCACAAGGCAGCGGGCTGCATACTTATCCTTTATGCAAGTGATGACTGAGGGCTCAGCAGTAGGGAAGTAACGCTGACAGCTCTGCTCCGGGATGGCAGATTGTCAGCATTCCTCACCAGGGCACCCAGCTGGCCTGGGAAAATGCTGGTGGTTTGGGGGGTGGGGGTTGGGCCTCTAAAATAGATGGTGCTTCCAGACCTGAGAAAGATGGAGAGGAATGGTTGGCTGATCTCTTTCTGAGCAGAGGTAGAGTCAGACCTATGAAGCTGGAGAGCCCGAAGCAACTCCTATGATTCTGCAGGCACAACCTGAGTTGTTGGGTGCAAAGAGAGAGAGGTATCTGATGGCTGAGATGGCAGCAAGACATAATAACATGATGATAATTATCAGCAATTAGCTATTTCCCCCATTCTCTCCCATCCTCGCTGTTAGAGAAGAGACAGTACTTTCCATAAAAGGGGAAGATGATAGCTCACTGGGTGGATGTGTTTGGGATGAAACTGAGACCATTTCTGTGGCTGCTCTGTAGGCTTGCTCTTGTGCTTAAGATTTAGCCCAGAATGTTGAGAGCAGCAGCTGCTAAGGAGCACTTAGCTGCTGC